GACAAAACTGAGGAATTTGATGAACCGATCCCTCTGAATGGTTTTTACACCAAAATTGGTGTAAAGGGATGAATTGTAGGATATTAGAAACAAATTGACGATCCGGTTCATAAAATTTATAAAAATGCATATAGTGTACACCAGAATACAGCCATGATTCTGAAACTGTGTAATCAATAAAGCAATGAGAATATTGTAAAACCACTGTAATTCTGCACTGTAGTAGAATAATACCAATTTTATGATTGTATTTGATGTAATGTAATCAACTGGAATGCACGCATGTAATACTTGAACAACAACTGATATTGACTAAGGATCATTCGAAATCCGAGTTACATTGAACTCACCAGAAGACCACTCCCAGAGGTGTGGACACTAACTTTCACACCTTTAAGCAATGTTATAAATACCTGTAGGAACCATTGTTCTCGAGTTCGCTGGTGGAGGCTACAGACGGGCACTAGGGATGGTCAAAAGGACTGACCTGGGGCCTGTTGGTTGAGACCAGCGGCTCCTCAGCTGAGATGTTCTTTTTACCGCAACGCCATCTCCTTTATTAAATACATTTGATTTTAACCTTTTGATCAGCGATGACCTCTGTCCCTCCGGCGTTTCTTCATTTTTGAACACAACACTACCAACTTCTTTAAGAATGTTTTTGGCTGCCTAGCAACAGACGTATTGCAAATAGTTAATAACTCTATTCAGACAGGCCATTTCCCAAAAGCTTTCAAAACTGCAGTTATTAAACCTCTCCTAAAAAAGTGGAGCCTAGATGCCTCTATTATCAACAACTACAGACCAATTTCAAATCTACCTTTCATAAGTAAAATAATTGAGAAAGTTGTCCTACAACAACTTAATCACTTCCTAGCTTCAACTGGCTGCCACGACAATTTCCAGTCAGGATTTCGACCTCTTCATAGCACCGAGACGGCCCTTATTAAAGTTATAAATGACATCTGTCTTAATACAGACTCTGGCAAAACTTCAATATTAATGCTATTAGACCTCAGTGCTGCATTTGATCCTGTCGACCACTCAATACTTTTGGACAGGTTGGAAAACTGGGTGGGGCTCTCAGGCACAGTCTTAAGCTGGTTCAGGTCATATCTACAAGACAGGAACTATTTTGTTTCCATTGGTGACTTCGTATCAGAAACAACTGACGTAACGTGTGGAGTCCCCCAAGGTTCGATCTTAGGGCCGACTTTATTCAACATCTACATGCTCCCACTAGGACAAATCATGCAAAAATTTACCACCATTGCTACGCTGATGACACTCAAATCTATGTAGCGCTATCACCAAACGACTATCGCCCCATAGATCTTCTGTGCCAGTGCATTGAGCAAATCACAGATCAAAATTTCCTACAACTAAATGAAGACAAAACTGAGATCATTGTATTTGGTGCTAAAAAATAAAGGTTTAAAGTAACCCAACACCTTCACTCTCTGTCCCTGAAAACATCGAATAAAGCCAGAAATCTGGGGGTTATTATGGATTCAGATTTACACTTGGAGAGTCACATCAAATCAGTAACAAAATTGGCCTACTACCACAACAAAAATGTAGCACGACTTAGAGGGCTCATGTCAGCTCAAGACTTAGAAACACTTGTACATGCCTTTATAACTAGTAGGCTAGACTATTGTAATGGTCTCCTTGCAGGTCTTCCCAAAAAAACTGTCAGGCAGCTCCAGCTTGTCCAGAACGCTGCTGCTAGAGTTCTAACAAAGACCAAAAAATGTGAGCACATTACACCAATTCTTAAATCCTTACATCCCAGTATGTCAGAGAATTCATTTCAAAATCCTACTGCTCACATATAAATCACTACATGGTTTAGGGCCAAAGTATATCACTGATATGCTTCCACTACATAAGCCTTCAAGATCACTAAGATCTTCTGACACCAATCTTTTAGTGATTCCCAGAGTAAATACAAATCATGGGAAAGCATCATTTAGCTACTACCAACAAACAGCTGACTTCCTGAAGATTTAAGACTTGCCCCAACTCTGACCACGTTTAAAACAAGACTGAAAACGTTTATGTTCAGCTTCGCTTTCTGCAAAATTTTACCTACATTGCACTTTTAACCTCTGCTTTTAATTAAACAATTTAAATAAGATTTTAATTTATAATTGTATTTGCTGTTTTTAATTGTCTTTTAATTCCTGCGTTTTATTACACTTTATTGTATGAAATGTTATGATGTGAAGCACTTTGAGTCTGCCTTGTGTATGAAAAGCACTATACAAATAAAATTGCCTTGCCTTGCCTTGCCTATTGCCGGCACCAGACTTGGACCTGTGTAGTTCTTTGATTCTAGCTGACTAACTGAGTAGTTAATCTTTTAGTTTGTATTTCTTTTGATTTGTTTCCCTTATTTTCTTTTTGTTTGGATTACGTGAATTATTTGATTAGGAGGATTTTTATGTGAACTATTTTCTTTTTCTGTTTCGTGTTGTACATTTTTGGTTTAATTCTCTTGTAACCTTCTTTTTTTGGTTATCCTTCCTAGCGGCTGTAGGCTGGTGGTGGCGCCGATGGCGTGGGTGGTGGTGGTCTTCCTCGTGTGTCGTGTCCCATTGGATTTTTGTGCTATCACTGGGTGAACTCTGGTTTGTTTTCTCTAAGTTCGTTTTATTAATTTTCCTTCTCCTTCACTGGCGCTTCTCACCATTAAGCCTTAGCGATTAGTTTTCTTTTCTTGTTTTGTGATGAATGTTAGATTTTATGGTAGTGTATCTTTATTGAATAAAATGCTTTTGTAAACTGGGAACCACGAGCCCTTGCCTACTGAGTGGAACAAACCTGTGTGCTTTAAAAGATCTTGGGCCTATCCCAAGTGGCGTGGTCGGCAGGATAAGAAACCATTATGTCACACTTGGCATTGTGGGCAGGATAAGAAACCATTACGCCACATACACGTTTTGTAAACTGCGACAGGATCCGTATTTATTACCGGACAGACATAAAAAACACCTCGTTGCGTTCGGTAGAGTCTTGGGTCTCGCAAAAACGTCTTATTTTTTAGATAGCTCTTATAGTTTTGCGCTAGAGGACACTTTTTTGAGGTGTGGATTCTGTGTAACTCGCTGTCCTGAGATCACAAAGACCTGTTTAGCCGTGATGACGTCCTGTACGAGCGCTATAGATGGACTCGTAAACTTCCAAATGATTTGGCCTGCCCTCACCAAACTTGTAACACATGTGAACATTGAACCCTTGAACATACCCTAATTCTTTGAGAATATTTGAAGAATAGGTGGCGCTGCAATTAATTGTTGATTAAAAGTTGTCTCGTGCTCCATTGGAATGAATGGAGTACAATGTATATGGGTGTTATATTATATAACACCCAATTATATAATATAAAAGCCCTGTTTACTCTGCTCATGTAAGGCTGTGTTGTTAGACCTTACCACTCGTCTAACAACACTTTGAATGTGGGGGACTGTGGTTTGGTTCCCACACGTGCCAATGTGTTTTTTTATTTTTTATTGTTTAATGCAAGTCTAGCTGACATTAGCGGCGGGAGAGGGACAATAGACGGCGAAAGGGTGGGACTACGGCGGGGCTGTGAACGAAGGATGAACGAACGAATCTTTCTTCGAGTCATTTGTTGGCGGGGGTGGGGGGGGGGGGGGGGGGGATATAACCGACCGTTCAGTAAAATGAACGAATCTTTTTTTTGAGAGGACTCGTTACTCTCGAGTCCTTGTAAGGATTCGTTCAAAATGAACGAATTGTTCACGAACGACACATCACTACTCGTCAGTCTGCTCACCGGTGACTGAGGGGAGGTACGTACCGTACGCAACGTGAACATTAAGACCGAATTAATGTATTTCACTGTCTGTTTAGGTACACTCAATCATTTCTTTATGTGTAATATTGTAAGGGCATATGGGACGAGTGGTTTTGTGTTCTTTTAACACATATATACACATGTGTATATTTGAGGTGAATAATGGGACGTTGCAATAGCTAGCTAACCACCTTGCGCTATGCGTGCGTGCGTCGTTAGCTTTCGCCATTTTGTCTCCATGCGGGTAGCCTATATGTTCCAGTGTTTCTTTTTTTTGTATAGGTTACTGGTTGTGTATGGAGAAGAATCCCGTCCATGTTTTTATTTGATTTCTGCAGGTATGTACTTTTATTCTATTTTATTTTATTACCATGTTCAGCAAATGTGATGTTCATTTATTTGTATTACGTTAGGAAGTCTGACAATTGTGGTGTAATCCTGTAGGTATTTATGTTGTAGTCTATGTGTGAATAGAAGATATATTTCCTAAGGAGAACATGCAATGTGATTGGAGAGAAAACAGTTTGATGCGGACATTTATTCTCCATAGTTATTTTTATTTGTTGTATTTTGTTTTATGCTTTTGAATGAATGTAATTCAACTGTCAGTCTGCTCACCGGTGACTGAGGGGAGGTTACTGGTTGTGTATGGAGAAGAATCACGTCCATGTTTTTATTTGATTTCTGCAGAATAAAGTGCCTAAGAGAATGTCAGCGTCCTGTTATCGATGCACCTGAACACAACGCAGTAGTCGGCGAGGCACAGACCGCGCCGGCTACACTCGCAGACCTTGGACGACTAGTCGAACAGACGTCTCTGTCTGCATCATGTGACAACAATTTTCCAGCGCTGCTTGGTGCTCTTTCCTCTACGTCGGCTCGGGGCTTTCATTTATTATTTTTGCTCCACGCACATCTCTCCAACAGTGACGTAATAATCGCGTGACACAACGAATCGATAATGAAATTTGTTGCAAACGCTTTTAATAATCGAAATGTATCGATTTCATCAATTCGTTGTTGCAGCCCTAATTGGGAAGCAGCTGTGAATGACAGAAAACTTGAATTAAGTCAACTACACAAACTGCAGAGGAATCCTGGGAGCATTTGGGTGTGTCGACAGGTAAAACATCTGGAGGCTTAGAGCAAGACAATAGACACCGATACAAGCAGTAGGTACTTTCAAAATGAATTTATTCATTAATGTAGTTGAATAAGTAGAAATGTGCAGAATGAGAAATAAAAGTTGAACCAAAAATATCAGCCACACAAGAAAATGAACCAGTGTTGGGTTGAAGTGGTGTTATATCAAAAGAAAATAGTACCAATGTGCCATAATAAATTGTCTATTAGTACAAAAATACATTTCAGGGCACACAATACAGCATCCAGTATCACAAATAAAGGGAGGGACCACTCTTCTCTTATTACTGCTTATGTCAGTTCCAAGGCTCAGGGGTATAACCAGAATAGAAACATAACCAATGTAACCGCTTTCTCTTTTTAAACAAATATTTTATCTTTTATACAAAATAACACTGATGTACAAAAGTTAATTTACGCAGAACTAAGGCCATATACTAGCAATATTTATAGCAACGATTGAATCATCTTCTATCTTTTTGTATTTCCACAGACTTCATATGCATAGCAGTAAAAGAAAGCATACCTTTTCATCAGCCTCAACTATTCTCGTGTGCTGAATCCAAGTTCACAGTTTATGACAAAATGCAGAGACGACTTTTTCTCCCGTAGTGATCGCTATAACTGAAGGAACAGATGTTTTGAAGTTTCACTGAAAAGTTAATATGCAGATAAGGCATCACTGCTTGCAGTGTACGATGGGATTTTCATGTGTTGAACCAAGTGGTAGCAGGCTTCTGGACCTGAGTCATAGCACATGCATAGATCTCTAGACAGCAGGAGTTTGTAACGTCAAGTCAGTATATTTATTTACGGTAAAACATTGCTCCAAAACATCAGTTTTAAACAGAGACGGAGCCCCGTCAGAACATATGGGCATCTGATAATAATACTTAACCTTCATTCAGAATTTTAAAAAATCTTTATGATGCCTACGTCTTCCTTCGTGAGATCCGCTCAGCATTTCTCAATTCCTCAAGGGATCCTTCACGAGTGAAACCCATGACCACAAAACTCACAAACAAAAATTTAGCATATACCAAATTTGCTATTTCTGAGTTGTTTTTTTCTTTTTTTTACAGTTCGCAAAAATGCCATTGTAATATTAAATGACGTCCAAAATTCTCCTTTTTTCTGCACCGCTGTGACCTTTTAAAAAATTACCTACAAAAGTCTAAACGAGATCATTCAGTCTGTGGCACCGGTCATGAATTCCAACTTCAGTTCCTTACTTGGCGTATCGTCGTGCGCGCCGCCACGGTGGAGTGTGCCCGGCAGGGTGGCGAAGGTCCCCTGTTTATCACATTCAGTAACAGCCCAGCTGTCGCCCTCTTCAGAAGTGGTCGATGAGCACAGACACACAGTTTGCACCCACCAGGTAGTTTGGGTCTCCTGAGGGAGACTTGTTCTGCCAGATTTTAGGATCACCTGCAGAAAAGAAGAGACATGTCAACTGCTGAAGCTCCTCATTTCCTCTTTAAAATACAGGAAAAAATTATTCAGAGGATGCACCGTTCAAACCTTTTTAGTCCTGTGAAAACACGTTATCATCCTCCACAAAAACACCACAGATGCTCAAAAACAAAAAGATGTAATGTTTTCAATTATGTGATTAGTTCATGTTTGATGGATTATTCAAATTGAATGAATGTCAATTGAATGTTAATTCTTATCCTGCCAAATGATCATATTATTATATCTTCAGGTGGTGGGATGCAAACAGAAACACCATAAATGTTGTGTCATGTCACAAATGACACAACATTTGAGGTGTTTCTGTTTATTACGCTGATGGCGCGGGCCTAATTTAGAAAAAATAATATCCCCAAACAGCACAGGCATGAAAAAGAAATGAGGGGAAACACCTAAATCACAAAAGCCAGCCCAGACCCCAAAAGGACAGAGGACAGCGTACCCGACAAGGAGTCGGAGGATTTTAGAGCAAAAGACCAACCATCAGGGGACATAGACGCACAGTGAGGTAAGCGCAGCTCCACCGGCTTCAGGAACTTGAGTCCATGCGGGCCGCACATCACCAGCGGACTTAGCAGCGTTTCTCCTGAAAAATGAAGTCAGGCCTTCATGGTCAATGATAATTAAAGAATCTTTCCGGCCATCTACTAAAGCGCTGTGGGATTAAACAACGCCGACAGTCAGGACCTCTAGCAGCGTTACCGCTGCAGCAGCAGGTAACGCCAGCTCTGCAGACACCTCAGGCCTCGCCAGCACGAAACTCAACATCACAGTAACAATTGCCAAGTTTATCTGTAAAGACATGCGACCCCACAATGTGGTTGAAAATCCGGGGTTCTGTAAATTCATCCAAACATTGTGTAATTATTGTGTAATGTTTACATTGAAAATGGCACTTGATTCAAATAAAAGGTTAATACATTTGCCATTAATTGTTGTTTGCTTGTTTATAATATCCATCATTCATTTAAACCTGATTTCCTTACAAGAAACAGGGATCTCAGAAACTTTGCCTGCACTGTCCAGTAAAGTTACTGAATCGATTTTAAGTCGCTGAATCGAATCGTTCTAAATTAACACAGATCGTCCATGAATCGAATCGGCAACCATGAATCGTGATTCGAATCGAATCGTTGTTAAAATGAATCGTTACACCCCTAATTAAAAGGCATTCTGGCTCAATTACTAATCAACCACAATTTTTTCTTTTTTCTCTGGATATTGCATAACTTCCAGTGTCGTATCGTTTGTTCCTCGACATCATCTAGACATAAGGAAAGGACTGACCTTTCTCCTTGTCGAGGGGTGGCAGGATACTGTTGTCCCGGCACACCTTGAAGTAAATCTCCTGCTCCACGCTCTCGGGGATGGCGCCTTGGGGGATGATGATGCTGACGCCCGTCTCGATGGAGCTCAGGACCCCTCCGTTACAGTTAAAGGTCCCCCGGGCGGTGGCCACCACCGTGTGCCCTTCGTCCTCGTCCTCGTCGTCCAGCGTGCTGGGGCTGAGAGACAAAACACAAAAGACAGCATCATCAGTCAACACCGGGGAGGCGGAGAGTGAGAAGTGGCACGGCAGAGGACACAGGAACAAACCCAATGTGTCTTTCAGAAGTTCGGTAATTACTCTTAGAGAGCTTCCTGCTGCCATCCGATGTGAGAAGGAGTTGCTCACCTTACAGGGACGGCCTTCGGAATGGCGTTGATGTTATTGTGCTGGTATTTTGGCCTGTTGTCCATGGTGCGTGTGAAGGCGTCCAGACCACTGTCGTGGTCTAGGGGCTGTGGTGACAGCGTAGGCCTCCCACTGCTGTTGCTCACCACACCGGGCTTACTGATGAGCTCTGTCTTCACCTTTGTGTTGTTGGGCAGCAGGTTGTGGTTGAACTTGGGACTCTCAAACTTGCGCTCAAAGGGCCGGGCTGAGCTGGTGTACAGCTTGGGGACGTAGCGGTTATAGCTCGCTGGAGGGGGGGCGGCCAGCGTCTTTGGCGGTGCAGCGTCAGTGCCGTTGACCGGGGACTTCTTGGGGAGGCCCCTTAGGGGCAAGTAGCCACTGGGTTCGTCTCTGCTGGCTGGCCTGAGGGCCGGCAGCTCGGGTTTCGGATTGGGGGAACTCAATGGCTCGGGTATGGAGTTCGCTGGAAGCGGTTGAAGGGAGACACAATCACTTAAACGGTGTCTTTGTGGAACTCTCGTATTCTCGCACTTTAGAAAATAGAGCTTACCGGCATTGGGGCTGAGCCTGAGTAGTGCATTGGGTGTGATGGCGGACGCTCTCTTTTCCACTGGACCTTTCTCTACGGACTCCACTCTGCAGTACACAAACATTGTTACGGTTAACAAAACAATTATGATTGTGCAGCCGGTGGAGCTACAAGGCTTAGTGGTTTTGAACTGTGCTGAATGAGTCGTAGTCGTACCTGTTGTTCAAGTAGGACAGCTGAGCTGGTTTGGGCAGATTGCCGGGATTGGGTTGACCCATGGCCTTGCTGTCGAAGCTACGCCGGTCAAAGTAGGACAACTGTTTTCTGTAGTACTCTTCATCCTCATCTGGGTCATAGCGATTAGAACGCATTATATCATCCAGGGGTTTAGAATGGGGCTTTTGTGGCTCAAGGGCCCTGCAGAGAAAGCAAAAAGATGTGAATAAAACAGCTGCCGCAAAACGGCTGGGGAAGACCGTGCTTTCAAGTTTTGAAAGAAAATGCCCAGACTGTCATATAAGCCTTGATGCAAGTAAAATGGATTAATTTGAAGTCAATGACATGAAATCAATCTGGAGTGGGTGTCGTGTGCAAAGACATAAAACGCGTCAGAGTTTGGGTGGAGCTTGAGCTCGAGCATCCTACATATAATTTAAAATTTCCTCTGCAACTATCTCAGAGTTGTCCTTCACCCACCTACTTTGCAGCCCAGGGTTCTGTGAGGGCTACATACCGAAAGTTGGATTTCTCCTGCTCCAGGTTGCACAGGGAATTGGCTTTGAGGACTGGTCCAGGTGCAATCACAGGTTTGGGAACATCTGCAGGCTGAAAGGCAAAAGGGAAAAATGTCTCTTCGAGGCTTCTTGCATTTAATACACATTTCTGTACGAACGGATTGTAATTTAAATTTAACTAATTGCTCAAAGCAAGATAAGCAACAACACTTGCATATTCAAGTACCAATTACTAAACAATTTTATTGGGCTAATGAAGGCTCCATTCAAAGTTTGCTCAACATGACCCACCTTGGGTGTCTGCAATTCTTTACTACAGAATTATTATTATTTTAGAGGATGAAATGCCAAAGGATAAGGTGTTCACATAAAAAGGTCGACCAGGCGAGTCCCACCAGCAGCATTCACAGCGTATGTTTGCCCCGTTGAGGCGACAGCTGTACACCTCTGTGAAGAACTCACTCTGAGAGCCGATTCTCCTCTTTCTTTAGCCTTGTCCACAGAAACAGACCGTTTATTCTCAAACATCTTTACTCTGTTGAGCACCGACTGTGGCTTCATGGCCGGGTCGTCGTCCAGGTCTTCCCGTGGAGGCGGAGGGAGGGATTTGGAGACCGGAGTGGTCGCTGGCTCGCCGGGGGAGGGCAGGCTCTCTGGTTTATGAGGGGGAATTGTGTGTTCAGAGTTCATCATGGAGTCGTGCATCCCTTGCTTAAAGCCCCGGTTTGCAGGCCCAGGAATGAAGGTGGGCCTCGGACCGGACTCACTGTGATACTGCTTTGGCGGCTCCGGCGATCGAGGTGAACTAACGGCGAAGCCATGAGGCTCTGCCTCGTGAGGGGAGCGGGCCTCGTAGCCGGCCGGAGGCGGGGGCTCATCGTAACGAATGGGCCCTGCTTTACTGTGCCATCGTCTGCCGTCATAGCCCACCGGGGGGGGCTCATCGTAGCACGGCTGAGTGGGGCTGTAGTCCCTGCCCGGCCCGTCGTCGTAGGGCGACCGGGTGTTGTAGCCCACGGGTTGCTGGTGGCCCTGCTGGTACCCTGCGGGCTGGGAGGACGAGGTCTGCTGGTCATAGTGGGCCCACTGCTCGTTGTAATGAGGCACACGGTTGTCGTAGTGCAGGTGTGTGTCGGTGTTGTGGCGCTTTGGGTCGGTGAAGCCGGCTCCGTCGTATCCGTAAGGCGGGTGGTCGTATTCAAGGTATGGCTGTTTGTCCTGGTACGGCGGCTGGTGACAGTAGCTCAAAGACTGCTTCAGGCCGTGGTGGATTGGCACCGGCTCCTCCATATTGTACAGATCTTTCTTGTACATCTGTGAAGAAACAACACCAAATTAACTAATCTGTTACATCATCATCAATATGCTGGAGGACAGAAAGCAGCCGGGGAAAAACACCTTCCGAACACTACATTGAGAATAATAATTCAATTGGAAACCTTGAAAATATAAACCCAATACACAAAAATCATTAGAAACGGTCCCAATTTAACAAAAATCTATTTAAAGTGAAATCAAGCAAGCAAACCGTTGTCCATTATTCAAAAACAGTCCCATAGACTGCTTCCAAGTACTTCCAACGGAGGAAGGTTAATTTGTTGTCATCTACGCGGAACAAAAATAGTAAACCTTAGACACGATGCCGTGTGCAGTGGTTTTAGATATTGCTTGATTCTAAATCATTACCAAGAGTACTGTCTGCAGGTTAGCTTTCATCATGCAACCAACATTCAGTTTGCATCTAATGCGAAGTCAAACTACTGACACTACAAAGAACGACATATCTACCACTACAATGCCTGCAAGTGCTTCTATCGTTCATCTACAGAGAGTTAAAGCTGAAAGGAACCCAATAAACACCAGGGGCCATGCAAAGGAAGCAAAAGGGCCAGTTAGGGCTAGTTGTGGATATTTTCATCCTGGTCAAAGACTCAGATGCACCAGTCCTCCTGGTCTCCCAGCCCACTGAGGTGCATGTGGAGCAGTTTGTTGCACATCTCTCACAGCTGTGGGAGCGAGACACATAGTGGGCTCAGTGGGTCACACAGTGTAGGCGTGTCATGCAGAGAGCGAGTGGAAAGCATGTGCTAGTAGACAGGCAGTATAAACAGCAGGCTGTGGCCCAGGCCCGGTCCGAGTGGCTGTCGAAACAGCGGGTACCTTTGGTTCTGGACCAAATGGTCCAGACGGGTGGGGTTCAAGTGGTGGTGGCGGGGGATGAATAAGCTCAGGGGCAGGGCTGGGGCTGCTAAGTGAGTCGGCCATAGGAGGAGCTGCGGCTGCAGCAGCAGGCGTCTCCTCTAGGTGCAAACCCTCAAGCTGTACAGGCCGCTCAATGGCAGGGGGCGCTACCACCGCCTCATCTCGCTGTGAAGTATCGTTAGGAGACATTTATAACACAGCCTGCCGAGGGCACACAAAGTACAGCTCACCCCCAACACCATCTTCTTCCTGACACTGAATCAGTTTTACACCAGCAAGAGAATGTGATTAGAATAGATAACACATCAGTAGCTTCTAAAACATGTTTATTACTTAGGAGAGGAAGCATTTCCTCTCAACAAAAATGTCAGGACACAACACTGAACACAAAAGGCAGTGGGGGCGGTACTTTCAGCCCCCACCCATACCTGGCGCGTGCAGCCCGCAAAGCTCAGCATGAACGTTACCTGTTGCGGAGCGGCCATCTTGAACCCAGCGGGGTCGATGCGGCCGGCCAGGTCGGGCTGCACAGGGTGCTGGTAACCGGGGTAACCAGGGTTGTCCGGAATCACGGGTGGGTCCTCTCGCACCGGCTCGGAAGAGCGGGTGATGGCGGGCTCCGTGGGCAGGCCCCCCTCGTCGTTCAGGGTCTCGTCCAGTTCGTGGTCTGTGTACGCCCCGCCATCCGTGTCCGTATCCTCATAGTCAGAGGTGTGGCGGCTGTCCGTGCTGTACATGGAGTACTCACTTCCTGGCGCAGACAGGTAGGACAGGCGGTCGTCATGGATGTCCAGGTCATCCTCCGTGTTGCCGTCCGCCTGAGCGGGTGGAGAGATAATTTCACATGTCGCTCGGTGAGACGAACAGGCATCAATCGCGTTGTTGAGGGAGAAGAAATGACACAGTGGCCTCTCACCTTGCCCTCTGACACCCACACCAACTGGTTCTGCTGTTGCTGGATTGTCTCCTTCAGAGCTCCGTACCAGCCATCATTCATATTGTTCATGTTGATAATGGCTAAAAGAGAGTCATTATTTTGGTGACCATCACTTCAAGAATTCTAAAACACGTAAGGGGGGAATACACACTAAGCACACTCACTGGTGAACAGGTGGTGGTTATTCTTCCTCAGTTTGATGGCTCTCTCATAGAGCTTCCTGGCACTCTTCCTAGACTCTGAACACAGTCTGGTCCTCATGTTCTTCACCCCCTGCTTAGTATCGGGATTTAGGAAGACTACAATCGGGTACCACTGAGCGTAATTCAGCCTGTCCACAGCATTTGGGGTGATGTCCAGGACAGCATGCTTGTCCTTCAGGGGAGGAAAGAATGAAAAAAATAATCTGTGAAGAAATAATCAAAGAACCTCAAACGCTGTTAATATTAAACAAAGAAGCATATTCACTTTGTCAATGATCTGCTTGATGGTGTGAAGACGAATGATTCCTGAACTACGCTGGTCTGTTCCTGCATCTCTCGGTTCACTCTCTGGAAAACAGGTTTGAGGGATTAATAAAGAAAATAATCTTAAACACTAATACATTTACTGTCATTGATGACGTCTATAATATATGTGCGGTAGAATGTTTACAAACATACTTGCAAGCTCAAAAAGATCTGTCTCTTCTCTGGAGAGTTTTCCTCGAGCAACATCAGCGATCGGCCCAAATATCACCACTGGTCTCAGAAACCCGGCTGCACAGAAATATGAAAAACACATTAAGAACCAGAAATATAGGCCTCAGGCTAGCAGACACCGTCAGGGTCCTCACCCTCTCTTAGTACAACTCTTTCATAAGCTGGGAACTTTGTCTGGACTGGCTGGGAAGAGAGATCCTCTCTGCTCTTCCTCAGGTTCCTCTTTGAGCTCCGAAGACCACGGAACCTCCAGAAGTCGGCCCTGTCACCCCCCGCTGTTTTGGGGAGAGTGTATTGCACGCTGGACAGCTGCTCCGCTCTGTTGACAAACAGCAGAAAGAAAAGAGATTTTTCTTTGTAAATTATGTTTATTATCAAAAGCAGAGTGTAGTTATACATTACACTTTTACACATTTTACATTTTCTCCCCCCTCCACACATACATTTTAGTCCCTACCCCCAAACCCAAACAAATTGCGCAGCCTCATTTCCCAAAAAAGCACATTACAGTATAAGTAGCTAAAGTATAGACAGACCACAGAGAGACCTTGATTTTTTCCAACTTTAAAAAGGACACCAGGTCCTTTAACCACAAGGAGGAGTTGGGAGGGCGAGGTGACTTCCAGTCCAATAGGATTCTCCTTTGTGCCAAGAGGGTTGAGAAAGCAATTATGGTTTCATGTTTCTTCAAAGTTAAAGTTTGGTCGTCATTCCCCTGAACACCAAAGATGCACATCAAAGCACTGGGCACAAGGTTAAGAGGAAGGGATTCTGATAGGACTTGAATATTGCCACCCATTAACTTGTCAATCGAGGGCAGGACCAGAACATGTGTGTAAGATCTGCTGGTGAGTTTTGTCATCTATTGCAGATATCCTTTACATTAAAGTACATTTTTGAGAGTTTAGAGTTAGAGTAGTGTAAGCAGTGCAGTACTTTGAATTGTAGTACATTCAACCGTGCACACAAAGAGCTGTTATTCACTCTAGCCAGGGCCTGGTTCCAAACTGAATCAGGCATTTTCATGGTAAGTTGTTTTTCCCACTCTACTTGTTTCAGTAGTTGAGTTGATAATTAGATATATTCAGGATATAAATCCTTTTACTGCTGGCAGCGGTAGCAAAGTAAGAAACAAATGCAAACCGCTTATCCTGCACACAGGGTCGCAGGGGGGCTGGAGTCTATCCCAGCCAATCACAGGGCTACACAGACATGGATTGGATACATGGCTTAGTCGGACTGAAATCGAATTATCCGTTTCATGTAAACACCTTTGTCCGACTATGTGCGGTCCGACTGCGATCCGATTAACACCCCTGGATATCTCGATCCGATCCAGTTGATAGTCCGACTATTCGGGCATGTAACGGTGAATCGGATAAGGAACTGGACTTTGCGCATGCTTGAGATCCCGCCGCCCTCCTCCCTCCCGGAAGTCGAAAGAGACTGCTGGGAGCCTGGCCGGCAGAAAACAAACAAACAACGCTATGGACAACACAAGAGTCCCTATAGTAGAGCACAACGGCGTAGATTCGGGTGTGCAGTTGCCAACTACCATGGGTAAGTTAATTTCAGTTGCATCACACTAAAACAAGTGCTAGATTCCAGATGCTAGCTGATGCTGTTCGTGAGATGTGTTAGCAGTGCTAATATGTGTTGAAAAATGTGTACCTTCCCTTAACTTGCGAGGAATTAAATCGACGATGAAAACAATGTACAATCATAAAACGTAAGGCTAACCTGGGTCCCACTTGATAACCGTAACTTTCGAAGCTAACATGGGTGCCACTTGCTAGCTAGCCCTTTGTCTTTGAGAAACGTGTAGACCTTCCCACTAACTTGCAAGGAATTCAATTTAGGATGAAAGCTAGTTACAAACGTAATAAAGTGTACATTACATAAACTGTACTTTCTACATTTGTTTTTGCACTATAGTTGAGTTTTTATGTTTCTTTGTCTATTTTTATGTGCATGTGATTTCTTTGTGCACGTTATTGCACATATATTTGCTGTAAAGCACTTTGAGCTGCAGTCTTTTGCATGAAAGGTGCTATATAAATAACGTTTTATTATTATTTGTGTTGTACCATCTTATAGATACTACATTGGACCCGGAAGAGACGCTGCTACCGATAATCTACCTGTTAAGTTCTGCAATATTATAACTGCATCAACATATGGGCATCACAAAGAATCTTCATGCCATGCTTTCACTCATCCTGTGTAGTCTAACAAACAGCTGATGTCAAGATGGTTACTACCACATGCCTAATCGGTAAGGATACAACTGACTTTATACCTGCCATTTCTTAAAGGAACAAGGACCCAGCAAACAAGGCGAATGTATGGTTGAGAAGCTGATGCAGAGAATGGATAACATTCCACCTCAACCAAACACATTCTCACCACCACCACAACATCAACCACCGCAAGATGCGTATTATGGTTATGAATGCCTTACTTATTTGCACTACCGCCTGAAAAGCACCTTACCGTTCATACAGCACAATTTCTACACTGTACCTCAGTGTGTGTGTGTGTGTGTGTGTATATATATATATACATTCTGATTGTGTAAGTATATATATATATATATATATATATATACACCTACACAATCAGAATTTATATATATAAAGATTTGTTTTTTTGTGACATTCAAGGTTTTACCTTTTATACTTGTGTGCTTTTATACCTTGTTTTTCTTGTGTGCTCTTATACCTTGTTTCACTTTTCTTAATATTTCTTATAAATAAAACACTTAACTAAAACTTCTGTGAGTTTCTTTATTTGTGGAATGAAACACGCATGAACTGTACAAGAATTGTATTTACAAACCTATGACAAACTGGCAATTATGTAATGAGTACGTCTAAAGGTATGGTCTGCTCAGGGGGAAGTTTGCACTCAGGTAATCTGATCCTCTGTCCATTTGTGTCGTCTGCGTGATTGTTGGCACGACCATCTGGCTGTGGCAGGTTCGATGCAAGTGTAGCCGCTTCCACTGACCAGTTGGGATTCACAACTTCCTTCTCATTCTCACAGAAATTGTGCAATGCACAACAGGTAGCAATCACTTTAGGGGTGAATGTAAAGTGGAAGTCACTACGCTTCATAAAAACTCTCCAGCGTGACTTCAGTCTCCCAAATGCAATCTCCACCGTGGTCCTTGCAGAGCTTAAGTAGACATTGAAGAACTCTTGCTCAGGGGTGATGTTTGAGGAATGGGTGTAGCCTTTCATGATCCAGTCCATGAGAGGATACGCTGGATCTCCCAACAGGAAGTGACCGATTGAGATACCATCGATTTCTCTTGGTTCCCGGGAGGAGAAACAGAAATGGTTACCAGTGTTGGACTTGCTTACTAAATGGCCCAGCATAAATAAAACATAGTATACATAAAAACATAATAAAGCCTCTATAAAACATCAAACTACTTTAAGCTTGTAACATACCTAGAAATCTCAATAGCTTGGTAGTAGCTCCACTAGTTTCTGCATGAATAACTTTCAGTAGCTTAACTCATTTATTGATCTCATTGATTTTATCCATACATTAATATGTCTTCAGAGTACGACTTACTTTTGGTAACAGGTGTGCCTGGCTGAACAACGTTGATTGCCTCAGCACGTTAGCGTCATACAGCATCTTACAGCTGATGCTCCAGAAGCGGTATTGGTGCGGTATTGGTGCTCGAACAGTCACCTCTGCAGGCTTCATGACTACTTCCATAATTCCACACAACTTGTGGAAAGGAGAGAGTCATGCGAAAGTTCGCTTTCCAGTCCTCGTCATCAAATACGGTCAAAACATCTCTCTCCCAGAAGACTTTGTTTCTGCTCTTCATCCAGAGTGCTCTTCGAGACCTTTGCGGTACAATGGCAGAGTTCAACAATATATTGTTGGTCAGAATTAAATTCTCCATGTACCTTCGGCGACAGCGTCTTCTCTCCGTTATCAAATCAGCCAATAGCGCCATTCGCATTCGCTGTACTCCTATTAACATCATGCACAAATAGTAGAGGGATGTAGCTTCACCTTGCTCTCCGTTCAACATCTTTCTCGTAATGTTGTTGTTGTTGGTTGTTGTTGGTAGTGGTGAAGAGGTCAAGCGGAAATGGCTGTATCACAACTAGTTGTAATGAAAACAGCGCCACCTATCGTATCGGATATGACGTGCTTTCGGCCAATGATTCGATTTATTCACTGCCATGTTTATTGGGATAATAGCACCTCTCCCCGAAAGAGAGCATAGTCCGACTAAGCAAAGATTCAAATTATACCATCATGTAAACACACTGAGAGACATACAACCATTCACACTAACATTCACACACCTACGGCCAATTTAGAGTCACCAATCAACCTGATCCCCAGGAGGGGAGGGATATTATATCCTCTGAGCTTCCAAATAGCCCTCCCGTGTACAATGACCAATTTTAGAAATGCCATTTTTAAGCCGTAGTGAGAATGCACAGTCTAATCTTGATGGAGGAAAGAGGAAATTGTAGTGAATAGGGGTTATGGTGGGTAAATCGGTGAGTTGAAAATGTGTGCGAAACTGTGCCAGAATTTTTAATGTCGTAGACACAATCGGGTTGGATGAGTGTTTTCTTGGGTAGAAAGGTAGCCCAGAGGGTACCAATGCTAAAAGAGACGACGATGGGCAAGATTTGGCTTTGTTTAGACACCAGCTTGTTTGAGGAAGCTTGATCCAGTATATTATTTTCTGTATATTCGCATGCCATTAATAATATTGAAAATTTGGAAAAGAGAGTCCACCTGGAGATGTCTTTGCGTCATTAATCGTTAATGAAGCATAGATGGTTTTCCATCTATCAAAGTCAGTCTTCATCTTGGTGATTAATGAAGTTTCTGTTGTATGAGTTTTCAAATTTACGAGTGATGTAGATGCCCAAATATTTAAATTCAGAGACACACTTGTGAAAAGCCAGTTGCATTCCTGTACGTATGGCCATATTGTTCAGAGGAATGTATTCACTTTTAGAGAAATTTAATTTATATCCTGAGAATGTCCCAAATTGTTTTAGAATCTCAATTAGTGCAGGGGCAGATTTCACCGGATCCGAAATATAGACTAATAAGTCATCAGCATATAGCGATACTCTATGCTCAGAGCCCCATCTGTGAATCCCTTTATTGTTAAGGGATGCTTTAAGAGCAATGGATAGTGGTTCGATAGCTAAGTCAAATAATAGAGGACTTAAGGGGCAGCCTTGGCGGGTACCTGGGTATAAATTGAAATATTCTGAGAATATATTCGGTTTGACCTATTGGTGACGACAGAGAACCTGGGTGAGGAGTTTTACCCATGCCACAAATCTAGGACCAAAACCAAACTTTTCCAAAATCCTGAAGAGATATGGCCATTCCACCCTATCAAATGCCTTTTCAGCATCTAGCGAGACAACCATCTCTGGGGTCTCTCCAGACACTGGGGAACAGCTAATGTTGAACAGGCGGCGGATATTACACAAAGAGTGGCGATTCCTTATAAAGCCAGTTTGGTCTTCAGAGATTACTTTGTGGACAACTGGTTTCAGACGCATAGCTAGGGTCTTTGCCAGAATTTTGTAATCTGCATTTAGAAGGGATATTGGTTGGTAATATCCACATTCCTTTGCATCTTTTGAGAGTAATTGGTGCATTTGTCAGGGTTTGTGGCAGAGCGTCTTGGGTTAAAAAGTAGGGGTGTAACGATTCATTTTAACAACAATTCGATTCGAATCACGATTCATGGTTGCCGATTCGATTCATGGACGATCTGTGTTAATTTAGAACGATTCGATTCGATTTGATTCAGTGACTTAAAATTGATTCAGTAACTTTACTGTACAGTGCAGTCAAAGTTTCTGAGATCCCTGTTTCTTGTAAGGAAATCAGGTTTAGATTAATTATGGATATTATAAACAAGCAAACAACAATTAATGGCAAATGTATTAACCTTTTATTTGAATCAAGTGCCATTTTCAATGTAAACATTACACAATAATTACACAATGTTTGGATCGATTCACAGAACCCCGGATTTTCAACCACATTGTAGCATTGCATGTCTTTACAGATAAACTTGGCAATTGTTACTGTGATGTTGAGTTTGGTGCTGGCGAGGCCTGAGGTGTCTGCAGAGCTGGAGTTACCTGCTGCAGCGGTAACGCTGCTAGAGGTGCCTGACTGCGTTGTTTAATCCCACGGCGCCTTGGTAGATGGCCGGAAAGATTCGTCGTGTTTCCGTGTTTTTTTATTTGGCTTCTACATATTCTACAAACAGCGACCGACTTATTTAGAACACCTCCGTGTTTGCAAAAGCCAAAATGTTTCCACGCGCTGGATCGATAAGTTGTTTGTAAGTGTCTTGCTCGCAGTCGTCTCCTCCACGCTGTGTTTTGTTGTTGTTCTGAGTTTCGCGCGGCTGCCGCTGCGTAATGATGACGTCACAGACAGGCTGACTGAATCGAGTAACGTTTAATGTGTCTAAAGTGCTAAAAAACAAACAAACAAACACACATCCATACCGTTTTTGTGGTTAAATCCAATGTGCAGTTTCCAAGTATTGATACAATCGATTATGTACCATTTAAATCGATTTGAAATCGATATATGTCGTCCGGAATGCCGATTTGCGGAGCACAGATCGATTCAGTTGGATCGCAGGAATATGAATCGATTAATTGATTCAGTGAATGAATCGTTACACCCAGTGCTGTAGTGGTAAAATTAGAGGTGGGTAAACTTTGTGATCATACAGACCTCGACGCGATGCGAAGCAACGCAACACAAAGCGTCGCGACTCTTGTAAGGCTGTCCTGGCTATATTGCATTATGTTATCAGTAAAAGTCATATACAATCAATGACAATGAATACATGTGTTAGTAGTTTGTAGTTTATTAAATTTAAGAAAACCGTAAAGAAAAGTATGTCAACACAACACAACAACACAATTGCAGATTAAGAACTATCTACATATGGAGTCTCCTTTTTACAGTAGTGCCCAGAGGGCCTCCTTGTCCTCCACGTCAGGCCCTGCCTTGCACAGAGGAGCCATGAACCCTAGAACACGCGTTCTGGGGTTCATGGCTCCTCTGTGCTTCTCTCTCTCTATTCGACCTGGTGTTTCTCCTCTCCCTGTGCTCTCTGCATCATTGCCTGTCCTCTCTCTGCCTTAAAAAATATGTTGAATTTAAGAGTTAACCAGTTAAGCAGCCTGTCAATTACACTGACAACATAAGTTAAAGGAACACTCATGTACTACCTATGTCATCATAAATAGCCCATACAGCATGTTTTTTTCACATTGAGAACTGACTTGTTTTCTAATCTACGCGTCACCAGGCGTTTTTCTTGTCCTTTTACCGTTCACCACGAGCGAACACAGAGTGCGCGACCGGTCCGCGAAATATTGTCTGACATGAAACCGGTCCGTGAGGTAAAAAGGTTGGGGACCACTGGGCTGATCCACAACGTGTATGTGTTTACACACCTCCTGGATCCTGATTGGTGTCGCTGCTGCAGCCGCAAGGCACTGATTGGATGCTCACAGACCACAATACAGCGCAGATGAACATGATTCAGACTACGGCGTTTATATGTTCAACAATAGGAAACGTAGTCTTAGCTGTTTTAAAATTACACCAAGTTTATTTCGGATTATTCCAACGGAAGAATACAAGGCGCAGGGAACTTTGAGGTGCGTAAACGCCACTTAGAGGTGCGTAAACGCTATTTATAGGTGCGTAAACGCTATTTATAAGTGCGTAAACGCTATTTCCAAAATTCTAGAGGTGCGTAAACGGTGTTTACGTGCGTTTACCCTCCACTACAGCCCTGGTTACACCCCTATTAAAAAGTCATTGAACATATCAACCAAGAGTGGCAATAATCTATCATAGAATACCTTGAAAAATTCAATAGTGAAACCATCTGGCCCAGGTGCTTTGCCGCTTTGGATAGCTTTGATCGAACCTAGTATCTCCCTTGTGTTTAGTGGTTGGTCTAGATTCTTTTCCTGGACATTATCAATATTCGGGAATATAAAGCCCTCCAGAAACTTTTCCATGCCTGTATCATTGGGTGGGCTTTCAGATTGGTATAGGAGTAAAACTCATTAATTTCATTTTGATTTGTGATATTTGTTGAGAGGTAGACTTGACTTTAAGTTGGTGTGCTAGTAACATTCCTGCTTTCTCACCATGTTCGTATTGAAAGCTATGACTAAGGTTAAAAATGATCATATGGATCTCTACAACGATTAATTGCAGCACCCCCTATTTTTCAAATATTCTCAAAAATTAGGGTGTGTTCAGGGGTTTAATGTGTTACAAATTTAGTGATCAGGGGGGCATAGACCCATAGATAATTTCCACAGAAAATATTGTGACAATCAGACAATCAGGCGTTTAGGAGAAAGGACCGTGAGAAAAACGTGTTTTTCACTAAATTCCAAATTGGCGGAAAATCTAGTTAGGTGCATTTGCATACAATGATTGACTTTTTTGTAGAGGATGTCCAAGAGCACAGGTGTGACAAATTTCAAGTTAATTGGGCATCAGGGAGAAAAACTGGCCTAGTGGGGTACTTTTCAAATTCACCAGTTCTGATCTGCATGCCAAATTTAACAACTTTTTGAATATGATAAAATCCCCCCAAAAGCAAAAATTCCTTAGAGAGAATAAGAAGGATAATTCCTTGAAATACAACAGGTTTCTCTACGACTAGTCGTAGCGAGGACCCTAATAATAAAAATGAAACACAGGTCACCTGTTCTTGTTGGGGATGATGCCCCTCTCCACCTCCTGGTGATTCTTGCCGATGCGAATAGCCAGCCAGGAGCCCAGCTTCCCGTTGTAGAGGGTGTCCACGACACGGAACACCTCGCCCTTGTTGAAGCTTAACCCATACGGAGATTCTTTCTCATGCTCAAAGTGGGTCCGGATGTAGAAGGAGTCACCAACGTCGGACTCCACAATCCGCCGATACACTGAGAAGCAGAGAGCAAGTCAGAAACATTGGGCTTGTGTGATTGATAAACATTAATCTCTCATCTCATTTCCTTACTCACTTCACTTACCATCTTTCTTTTTCTGGGCAAGAATAGTGACCTCTTCCCCCTTAGGAAGGTCAAGGAGGAACAGCACTGCCTCCTCTCGGATTATGTTTGCGAAATCTACATTATTTATCTGGAATCGGGGAACACAGAGATTGTAGTTAAGTAGTAGGCTTCATTGTTCAGAACGTGTGTGAGAGGAGGTGTAAACCTCAATTTAAATACCAATCTTTGCATAGAACATCTGGCCTTTCTCAGTATTGTCTGAGTATCTTCAGATTTTGATGCACTATGACAACTCAACAAGTCATTCGTCTTTATACTAAAAGAAAGGACTAGGAGGTACAAACAGGGAGATATATGGCTTTGAGGAAATGGAACAAACACACCTAGGGTAAACACAGCTTTTTTTGTGTGTGCTCCCTTGAGGCCTTTGCTAAGAGACCACGATGGAGGTACAATAATTCTGGAGCAGGCAGTGTGTCAGACCATGAATATGAATATAAAAACATAAAACATGGTTGTTTACAGACACCTTAGGTACCCGTTTTTAAAACGAAGAAAAGAAAAAAAAATATGACATAGAATAACCACTCTAAGTTTTGGACATTCAACTTTTTCAACAACTCTTAAGTTTTTCAACAACTCTTAAGTTGTCAGGTTATACACTTGTCATGTTAACAACAAAGAAGCATCTCACCCTGAGAATTTGGTCACCCTCCTCCAGGCCCTCCTTGGAAGCTGGGCTGTCCTCAAGCACTCCGGCTACAAAGATGCCCACATCATTCCCCCCGGCCAGCTGCAGCCCCACACTCTCTACCTTCCTGAACTTCACAAGCTTCATGCTTGGCCTGAGGACGGGTAAGAATATTGTTAGGAGGATTTTCTTATCTTTGACATGACACCCTTTGATGGCATTTCCGTCTCTCCAGAGAAAATATATGAATAGATGCGTGACTCTTGGATGCAAGCCGGGTTCTCTCTTTTGCTGAGACTATTTTCTCTTGACTGGGCTTATGAAGCCAAGGTAAAAAATGTCTGTAGAAATAGAGAGGCATTGCGATGGAGAACATATGAATTCATTTAACATAATAATTTGATGTCACACTGTTAATATTACCGTAGGATGCTTTCGTTATGGGCAGCACTCGGCACCGGGGCATCGGAGGGACTGACTGGCAGGTCTACATCTGGCTGTCCAGGCTGAGCGTACACAGGCTTGGGCTCTGCACCAAAATACAACGTTAGGTTATTAATGCAGACATGAGCACTAAGTAATTTTCAAAACACTCTTTCAAACATATCCGCAACTTAACAACACCACGGACACATTTGTTAAACTAGGTATAATAGTGCTAATGAAAAGCTCAAATGTTAAAATACACACACCGGCAAAGTGCCATCACAGATGCTCGTGTGTGTGCGCACGCACACACACACACACACACACACACACACACACACACACACACACACACACACACACACACATTGAAAGCACACAGTGTCCAAAAGAGGGAGGTCAAACAGAAAGGCAGCAGAGGGCTGTAGCCTGGGGAGGAACATCACACTCGATTAACTCATGTGGTCTATTTTCATTTGACTCCAGACAAACTCAGCCTGGCTCAGCAGGTGTCTGCATAGAATTTTATTTCCAATATTTTTTTATGGAGTTATGCTCTAAAAAGAAGAAGAAAGAAATGCTAAAATTACTAGTTCAAATTACCTTTTATCATGAAATCATTCAATAAAGCAATTTAAATAACTGCTTATGGTAAACGGGAAAACTCGACGCCTCCTCCCACTTATTTGCATACAGGTACCAGTCACACTTCTGAATTAGAAAACTTGTTTGAGATGTAGACACAATATTCAGGTTTAATGCACAACAGTTTTATTACTACCTGGGAGTGGTGGGAGCTGTTTCTCCTCTCTAGAAGTGGCAGACTCCTTCGGTTTGGGGAGGGGAAGCTCATCGGGTAGCTTCACTGGAGTTGAAGCCGGCTTTGAGATCCATTCGTCATCACGACTTCTGTGACTGCGCACAAAAATACATTTTCATGCACAATTTGTCTTTAGCAAAGAAATGCGTGACATTATAAATAATGCATTCTTAAGATGTAGCGCTCGGAGGTAACATGGGAGCTTTGTGGCTACTACATCTTCAAGACACAAAAAAATACCGAGGCCGCACACGAATCAACATAAAACTTTAGTGTAGAAAAGTGGGAGTGGGCACGCGCCGGCCGAGGAAGGAAAGACAGGGCGAAAGAACGCCTTGGAGTCTTTTTTTGCCCTGTCATCACTTTTTTGCCCACTATTTTTAGGGCAGCTTGTCTAAGGTGTCAGAGTGGATTGTGTGCTCCAGGTGAATTTCACAGTGTGACACTGACTGTGGACCGGCAAAGGTTTGACTGCAAAGTCAGTTTTAAAACAGTTGGGCTGCCTTAACTGATACACAGTGGCCTGTGCTCAATTACCAGTTTGTTTTGTTGAAGTGTTTCAAATGCAAAAGAGGCATCATGGTTCCTTTTCCAAACTCCCGGTCACATGGTCGCTCACTAGAAAAACTTTAGTGGCATAATGATGCTCTATTCACAGGCTAAATGAGCAAGTAGCATGCAGGACTTGTTTTGAACTGGCTGGAGGAATAAACCTCTCCTTTAATCCATCCAGGAAGAGGCCCTCCAAACTGACAATTTTCTCAAGTATGAGGAAAGGTGAAAGGTCACGGATCCAGGTTCAGATAAACAGTAATATCCTGTCCCAGCATCTTCTCCCTGCCAATTGAAATACTTAAATGACTTGATCTCCAGTAGCATAGATGTTTCGTATTAAAACTAATACAACAGATTGTTGGTTTGACAAATACATAATTGAGATTATTGCACAAAAAACAAAAACAACAAATAATCAGACCAAACGTTCACAGATATATATATATATATATATATATATATATATATATATATATATATATACACAAACATTCAAGAGACAGGAGGATCATTTGCTTCCATCATCTCAAGTCAAAATAAGAAGCCTCACTGAAAATGTATGTGGTATAACTTCACGTCAGCACTTTCCTTTGAGTAATAATTTGCTGTTAGTCATCTTTCCAATAGAGTAATGAACTTGTTCCAGAGAAATCTGTGCATTGTAAGGAGTGGTTAAGGGTTATCTATTAATCTACCATAAAGCTATTTAAGATTGACTAGCACTATTATGAACGACTCACACGTGTAAAGGTGAAAAACGTATGGTATTCTCCAGCTGTTGAGTCTTATTAAGGGAATAAAAAGTGCAGACAATGCACATTAAATGAGTGTTGGTGTGGCGACCCCTGCTGTGGAGGCAGCAGCCTTCCAGTGGGCTTTAGGTTTGTGAGCGGGGTTTGGTGATTGAAGGCACCTGGGCCCGGTGCCCTGAGATTAGTTCATTCTCTCTCTCTTCTCTCTCCAGCAGACACCATGGTGTGGTAGGGCAGCCGCCGTGTTGAATCCTGTTTGCTTTTAGTTAGATGCCCTTTACAACACCCATCTTTTACACTCTACCCTCATGCACATCCTACACTACTGATAATACTAACGTTCACATCTCACCTGGTATGTTTGTGGATTTTTCATTGTCTTATGTTAAATAAAGAATATGTTAAACCTCGTAAACCAGTGCAACTCCACTCTTGTCATGGCCCAAAGAGCCAGGTCGTCCAGTTCTGGTCAGTGATTTGTTTGATGATCAAGTGTGTAGATTTTGTGCGCGTGTCTTTGTTTACGTGTTGATCAGCTGTTGAGCGGTTGGTGCGCGTTTGGTTTGGTGGTGAGCGCCGGTTTGTCTCCGTGTTGCGGGAAGTTTGGGAGTCGTACTGGAATTTGAAGGTTTGGCATTTGTGGAAGCGTTTGGATTAGTTGTGGAGTTTTTTTGTTTTCGCGAAGTCGATTGTGCGTGGTCCATAGAGCATGTACGTGTTGCCGCCCTGACGCGCTGTGTTTGGAGTTTCCCTGTCAGGTTATAGTGGCGTCTCCCCTTTGGGTTAGGTCAGTTTTTTTTGTAGTGTTGTGGCAACGTGGTTAGTGTCAGCTGTCTATGGATGGTTGTCTCGGGAGCACGTCAGTGGGATCCTGGGTTGTGGACTTGTGGGTGACTTCTCAGACCTGCTGGTTTCCATTGCGTAATTACCCACCGCAAGCTGCATGAAGACAAGGTGAGTTTAGTAAGAGTTTGAACTAGGCAGTTGGGGGAATACTCCGCGGGGCAAGTTGCCTTCGTTTGTGTGCGTTTGGGGGGTAATATGTTGCGTTCTGTTTGGGCTGCTATGGCTTCCTTGTCGGGTTTTTTTTGATGCGCCCTCTGAGGTTTTCATTTATAGCTGTACTAAAGAACAGTTGCTACAGATAGCCGAGCATTATACAATCGATGTGACTAATATAAAACTCAAGGCTGAGGTGAAAGCTGTTGTTCTTTCCGCTTTAGAGGAAAGTGGCGTTTTGAGGACGGAGGAGCGTTTGTCAGACGTTGCAGCTGTGGCAACATATGTGTCTGCACTCATGTCGGGGCTGACTTTTGAGCAGCAGAAGGAGCTGCTGATGTTGCAGTTTGAGCAGGAGAGAATCCGGTTAAACGTGGAAACTGAGCGGCAAATTCAAATCGAAAAGGTTCGGCAGCAAACAGAAAAAATGAAACTAGGCTTGCAGCAGTATAAATTGAGTTTGATTTGTGGCGGTAAGCTGTCACAGAGTATGGTAGAGGAAACTTTCTCTGAGTCTGTGCGGGTTGGATTCGTTGGATTCGATCCTGTGGTTGCTCTAGAGTTAATGGTGATTGCTGGGCCGGATGACTGTGGTCAGAGATATCCAGATGTGTTTCCAGCCTGCACCGTGACCCGTGCGCAGTGTGCTAAGACTTTCAGACGTTAGTGGAGAGCAAAGCGAGAAAGTGGTGATTCCTTTACCTGATCTTCACCCATCCGTCCCTCAGCCGGAATGGGTTAAATGTCAGCAGGTTGATCCGTCTTTGTCTGGTTTGTTGACCAGTGTTTTGCCTGAAAGTGAGGTTGGAAATGTGGCTCTTCTCCAGGATGAGTTGCTTGTGAGGAAATGGGTGCCTTGTAAGGGTGATTTTGTTGGTGTGCCAGTGTTTCAAATTGTTGTACCTGAAAAATTCTGTGTCACAGTATTAAAGATTGCACATGACGAATCCGGTCATTTGGGTGTGAGAAAAACTTCTGACCGCGTTTTGCGATATTTCTTTTGGCCAAAGTTAAAGCGTGATGTCTCCAATTACATAAAATCATGTCATACATGTCAACTTACAGGTAAGCAGAGTCAGTCAATCAAGCCAGCACCTCTCTGTGCCATTCCAGCGATCAGTCAACCATCTGAGCATTTGATTATAGATTGTGCGGAGCCTTTGCCAACCTCAAAGTCTGGCTGTTTTTATCTGCTGTCTGTGATGTGCCAGACAACAAGATATCCTGCAGTATATCCTTTGCGTTCAATTTCTGAAAGATCAATAGTCAAGGCGTTGACACAATTCTTTTCCATTTTTGGCGTTCCGCGTGTGATTCAGAGCGACCAAGGTTCTAACTTTACATCGCACTTGTTTGGACAGGTGTTGAAACAGTTTAAGGTGAAGCATAACCGTGCATCTGCTTATCATGCGCAGAATCAGGGAGCATTGGAACGGTTTCACCGGACATTTAAGTCCTTGGTGCGTGCGTACTGCCCAGAGGTAGGGAGAGATTGGGAGGAAGGCCTACCTTGGTTGATGTTGTCAGCCCGAGAAGTTGTTCAGGAGAGCACTGGGTTTAGTCCCAATTACATTGTTTTTGGGCATACAGTGCGTGATCCCTTGGCAGTTTTGCGGGATGGCTTGGGTGACGCTGACCCACCCAAGAATTTAATAGACTATGTAAATGGTTTCTGTCATCGTTTATATACAGCTGCTGAAAAGGCGTGTGAAAATTTGGAAGTGGCTTCGTCTAAAATAAAAACTGTCTATGACCGCCGGGCAGAGCATCGTAAGTTTAGTCCTGGAGACCAGGTGTTGGCTCTCACTCCAGTTGTAAGTTCATTGTTTAAAGCAAAGTTCTCAGGCCCGTACACTGTAGAGCGACGAGTGTCAGAGCAGAATTATTTCATTTCCACTCCAAAGCGTAGGAAGTCCACTCGCCTCTGTCATGTCAACTTGTTGAAGCCTTATTATTCATGTGATGTTTCTGTTGCGCCTGAGTCCAGCGTACAGAGCTTGGGTGTCAGTCCGGTACTTACTATTGGTTCTGTGTCTTCAGCTTTGCAGGCTCCGGGTATGGTGGACAGGGAGGAGGTGGATGTTCGACCACCTGATGACCCTGTGATGTTTGGTAGACTAAAATAAATCAGAGCTGTGGTGCAGTTTCCTGCTCCAAGTACGAAAAAGGAGTTGATGCGGTTCCTTGGCTTGGTCGGCTATTATAGGAGCTTTTGTAAAAACTTTTCGACGGTAGTCTCACCACTAACCGATCTGTTGAAGGGCAAGGTGAAATTTGTGTGGTCTCCTCTCTGTCAAAGTGCATTTCAGAATGTGAAATCCCTCTTGTGCTTGGCTCCAGTCCTGGCTGCACCATGTTTGGGCCGTTTAAGATTGTGACAGATGCCAGTCAAGTGGGCGCAGGGGCAGTATTGTTGCAGGAGGAGGGGGAATCGATAAACCTGTGTGTTACTTCTCAAAGAAGTTTAATTCATATTCGACAATAGAGAAGGAAGAACTGGCGCTTATTTGGGTGCTGAGCATTTTGAAGTTTATGTCGGTACTGGGGGAAAACCAGTAGTTGTATATACCGATCATAACCCTTTGACATTTGTGAGTTCGCTGCACTGCCCAAACCAGCGTCTGATGCGGTGGACTTTGTTTCTGCAAAGTCATAATTTAGATATCAGACACATTAAAGGCAGGGACAACATAATGGCAGATGCTTTTTCTTGTACCCCTGTGGTTAAATGGTCTGAATTGTAGTGAGCAGGGTTAATAATATTGTGGTTATGAAAAGTAACTCCTGTCATCCAACTCCAATCTTGTCATGGCCCAAAGAGCCAGGTCGTGACAGTTGGTGAGACTGCATATGCATCAAACAAGCATTGCTGTTTTTTTGCTAGTGAATATTTTCTGTTTGGCAGAAACCATCACCTTAAAGACTTTAACTGGGAGTACCAATATAAAATTAAAGCTGCGAACAGCGTTGGACGGTATTGTACATGATAATTTCACTTCAGATTGATAGTACACATCCCCATGGTTTGACTCAGAGATAACAAGGACATTCTGATGTACTATTCCAAAATGAAAGCCTCTCAGAATACCATACATGGGCCAATTCCCTTCAAAATCCTTCACGAGACAACTTTTGGTCAATTTCAGATTAGATTTAAAAGGAAATGCTCAATAGTTACATGATAATTTCACTTCATATTGATAGTGCACATCCCCAAGGTGTCGCTCAGGAATAACCATTCCAAAACTAAAGCCTCTCAAAATATCATGCATTAGCCAATTTCCTTCAGTCTCTACCACAAGACTACTTCTGGTCAATGTCGGATTAGATTTAAAAGGAAGAAATCAATAGTTATAGTTCTTGCTATTAGATAAATGGAGCAGATTAGATAAAGTATGGTTGAGTTAAAACAACAAATTTTCATGGCGAATGGTGTTTTTTTGAAAATGCTCCCTACACACATAGTTTGGAATTTCTTCCAGAAAAATTACATTTTTAGAGCCTAGGTCCTCAAGATCACACTGCGCAAATTTGAAAAGAATCAAGATTAATTCCTGGGAGTAGTTCGGTCTTTTACAACTCTAAGAAATCATGAAAAATAGTTTAATAGTTTTCGATTAATTGCAGCGCCCCCTATTCTTCAAATATTCTCAAAAAGTAGGGTGTGTTCATGGGTTCAATGTTTACATATGTAATAATTTTATGGAAGTTTTGAGTCTTGCCATATTAAGCCACACCCCTTGCAAAGTTCATTAGCCCATATGTTCTCAAAACAATAAGATCAACACAAATGTTATGGATCAGGGGGACATTGAACCAATAACAATTCACAGAATATTTTGTGACAATCAGCCACAGAATTTAGGAGAAATGGTCAAAAACGTGTTTTGGACAAAATTCAAAATGGCGGAAAATCTAGTTAGGACGGACGGACGGACACGGTGTCGTAATGAAAAAGCACATTTAAAAAAAAAGTTTGTTGACGATGGGATTTGAACCCAGAACCCCCACACCCTTTCTTAAATAATTTAAGATGTCATCCATACAGTCATGGCAGAAAACAAGAGCTGATCACACGTATCTTCTGGTGGAGATAGAAATGTGCTACTCCTCTAGGGAGAATTCTCAACTGGATTTTAGAAATTTACATGTGACACACACCATTCTCATTAAGTAGAAGTAGACTTGCAATAAAAAAGAAAAAAGAAGAAAGAAAAATGGGCACATGTGGGTTTTGAACCCAGGTCTCCAGTGTTGTAACTGCAGTGCATTACCTCTGGAATACCGACCCTGCTATTCAAAACTTAAATAAAATATTTAGGATCACCTCTATTCAGTCAAGGCAGAGAACAGGGGCTAATCCCACAACTTCTGATCCACAAAGAGGTATTAACTTCAACCACACACCTTTGTGATTTAGTAGAGGTCTGGTAGATATATGTTACGAACTTAACACACTGAATATGTCTCTGCAGAATGCAGTTACCAATATTTAAACTAATAGGACAACATGGATATAATAACTTGTGAACTACACACAATGTATGACAAGGTGGGCGGCTTTCTGAAGAGAGCAGATCTGTGGTCAAGTAACAGCAAAGACCTCTGCTTTTATTGAAAGGATAATTTCTCTTGAGTGAGGATGTGGAGAGCAGGAGCACTCTCACCCTGGAGAGTTTCTGCCCTTTCGTTTCCACATATTTATGTGATGGCTCGTTTCCTGCAAATACTGTGATTTAAAGAAAAGGAATAGACTGCCTTGAGAAGAGTATGCTCAAACCGTAGCCTCCCTGCCACCAAAACTGCCGAAGAAACTCAGTCAATCACATACTAAAACTTCAGTCTCTGGCTTGATAACCAAAAGACCTAACCACGAGTCCACTGGCCCTGATGTACTAACACAACAAAAAAGTCCGTAAAATATGTAGGATCACCTCTATTCAGTTATGGGAAAGAACGGGTGAAAATCACACAACTTCTGCTCCACAGAGAAGTATTATCCTGTGAACCACACACCTTTCTGATTGAGTAGAGGTCTGGCAAATATATTTTCCAAATCATATGAAGTAACGACACCTTTAACTGTAAATGTGTGTGCCTAGTTTAGTTAAGATTGGAGAATATTTAGTCAAAAGCACCTCTGTTTTGACCTTGAAGACCTTGTTCTCACGGCAACAAAGCTTTTCAAAAACCAATATTCACCGTGAACAATCATCAAAGTCCTAAGGCTTATCTGCATAAGTAAATCATACAGAAAACTAACATTTCTACTATTCTTCTCTTCTGTAGCGTAACGGTTGACTTCCCTCAAGTCCTCAGGTCAATAAGCAATGTGAAAGGGGAACTCTGGTGCTCTATTGAGTCGAAAGTTATTGAGGTACTTTCAAACAAGGTTACAGTCACAAGTGCTGAATGGCTTGATGCTGGTATTAACTCAAACAAAAAATCGAGAGTCCTTCACAGCCAACAAAACCAATGAACAAACAAGTCTGTTTTAATAAATATTGACAGATGAAAGTTAATTAGTTACATAAGCACTTTCTACATATGAATACAGGGCTGAATTATTGTTTTGACTATTGATTAACATGCCCATTATTTTCTAAACTAAACACTGGGCATTACTACACTTTTCTAAAATCCTATGGTGATGTCATTGAATTGCTTTTATTACTAGACCTAAAAAACACAAAAAAGCCTCTAAATAATCGATTTACTATCTAATTGGACAACAAAAATGAGTTGAGAAGCTGGAGCAAATGTTGTTTGAAAAAAATGTTTGAAAAGAAAATACTCAAACTAACAGATATTATTTTTCTGTTGAGGACTAATGGATTTATTGTTTCAGATCTGCATTTAGATGCAATAAGTCACTGCTATTATTACGTATTATTTTATTAACCGCAAGTATCGTTGCTACTGCTTCTGCAGTTTTACAACCGGAGAGAGAAATAAAAGTAGAAAACTGAAGCTGTATGATAATGGCAAGTTATGGCGTCAATGTTTCGTTTAAAGTAAAAAATACAAAGCTGTGGGTGGGGGGTCTTTACCTGCCATTGCTGGATTGCAGGGGAAAGTGTCTGGAGTGGTCTGAGGGTTCAGATATCCTGTCCGGAGAGCGCGAGCGGCTGCTACGATGTCTGTCATGCGATCGATTGGAATGGTCGGATCCCATAGAATGGATATCTGATTAAAACAAAAGCGACTGTTCAACGACCGTCTGAAACACACAAGAACGCGTCTCTCTTTTCAGCTGCGCCGCGTTTCAGCCGAATCCGACACTTTACACCGGCCTCACCATCTCGGTCGGAGGCGTTGGCTGAAGGAATGCTGTCATCGAGGTCAGGGATATTCAGCAGGGTCGCCCTGTCGTCCCTCTGCACAACCATTTTTAGCTTGCCCTTTGACCTTTCTATCAGCTTCTTGGCGTCTATCAAGGAGAGGTTTTCTGTCACTGTGCCATTGATCTGTGGAAAATCAGGGAGGGAAGCGATTAGCCGCGACGTCAAAGTATAGAAAAAAATGTAATAAAGAGTCTTTTTTTCATCCTTTTCCTTTTACAGTACAGTTATCACATGAAAAGCTAAGTTCAGGTTACAATTGCATCGTCTAAAAAAAGGCACAAAATTGGAGGCAGATTAGGTGCAACACAAATTATGTTTGTCAGGGTCAAATCATTGTCTACATTTTGGGCTATGTGGTATTAACTAGGATTACAATTACTTTGACAATTCCTTTTTCTTTCCCTAATTATTTCATGAATCTTTCATTGGTTTCAAGTGCTAGCATTCAAAAAGACTAAAGTGGAGTCTGAATGTGAGAGGCAATAAATTCAGAACAGCTACAGTTAAAAAGCACCTGTTTTGCATGTGGAACTTTTTTTAAATGTATTTCTTAAATATGTGTAGTGAAAATGATATAACATCATGCAGAGTAAGCCGCAACTGCCAATGCTGATATGCAACTCTAGGTATATAGAAAAAGAAACCAATACAGCAGTACAGAGTACTGGGCAATTAAAGCACAGTATTAATCCTTCTTTCCATCCGAACAATGTGTGTAATCAAGATTACATCACCATCAAACGTTCACCAGGCTTCATGAGGTCGTATGCCTCACCTTTAGAACAACATCTCCTTCCTGGATGTTGCCGTCTCTAGCTGCCAGGCTCTCGGGGGAAATGTCCTTGACAAAGATGTGGCTGGCCAGACGAAGGCCATATTCTGCTTCCAAAGTGAACGACAGCAACACAGAGCACGTTAGCACGTGGCCACACTGCACAGAACGCACTCTGCAGTCAAGCCGCCGCTCCCGCTGGGATTAACAGTACTGATTAAAGAAGATTAATTCCTCTTTTACTTAGATTTACGGAACTGGTGAACTTGGATTTTGCTGCATCTGGCAAGTTGTTTTTTTTTACTCTGGTAGTTGACCAGTGCTGATTTGGAGGTCTTATTCTCTTCTTGAAGTCTGGCAATTAATAGTTAGATGAATACATTGACAGCCGATTTCCTGGATTACTTGACAAAACTCTCTCTTTCTGTCCTCCTTTTTTTCATCCCTGACTTTGTGAGTCTCACCTTCATTTTTGCGGGATTTGACAAGCGTGACTTTTGCGGGACGTGGGGGCAGGTTGTGTGAGCGGCGGTCTGAACGCGGTGAGAGACTTCTTTCCCGCGAGCCACTGCGTTCGCGTTGCCTGTCCTTTTGCATGCTGCTCCGGCCACTGCGCCTGCCCATGGCCCCGCCCACACCGCTGTAAGTGGGGCTGCGTCCGCTTTGTGTCTCGTAGATCTCTTCGTCGTAACTGTCCTCCTCCTCGTCATGCTCCGACATAGTTTCCCTCTCCCCTAGGCGGCCCATAGGGACATGCACCTTTCTCTTCCGTCTGATTGTCTGGGAAAAGGAAATACGATCAGTTGGAGTAAGATGACTCAATGAATCCCTCGATTGTGTGCATTTCTCCTAGCGGTCAATTGAAAAATCCACAACATATCTCAATGACAGACAAATTGATTAAACAAATATTGATATAATATAAACATTTTTCAGATAGAATTCATAATGGGCTGTTGACTCACAATTTTGGCAATTTTCCCACTTTTACGAAGCTGCTGGACGGCGTACGCGTGCTCCACATTGTCCATGGAGACAGCATTGACCATAACAACTCTGTCATTTTCCCTAGAGAGGGGGCACAAAGATATGAGACATGCTGAAGTCTCCCTGTAGGAAGATGGGTCATTTAATACTAATTATTTGCAGTTTGCATTGGATGCCAAAGACAGAACAAGTACCTACCGCAGTAGGCTTTCTGCTGGGCCTCCTTTCAATACATCCGAGATGACAATGGAGGTCTCGCCACTCTGAAAATGAGGGTTATCCCGACCTCCTGAAATGGCTATTCCGAAGCCAAACCCTGGTGCCTGCATACAGAGAAATACAGATTAGGATGTGAGTTTAGCGTTCTGTGTAGACGAAAATACTGAACATGATGTAAAAGTCTGGATAAAGATAGGAAGAGCTGACAAATGCATATATGTACATTTGCAAAAAGTATATATTAACATATGCCCCTGAACGGTTTTATTAGACGGTAAACCTAATCTACATCATCAAAAAAAGGACATATTATAGATATTTTTCACTGACAGCAAGCACATCAACATACAAACAACATACATCAGCATGCAAAAGCATTCAAAAAGAAGGCAGTTTAGTGAGTGGTATTCCGGCTCTGTGGCCAAAAATGTGTGAGAGTATTAGGCAGAAGAAAATCCCTGTGATGTTTTTTTTGTTGCACCTGCAACTGTGTACACAGTAAGCATACTTTCTACATGATGTAATCCTGGAAATACGAGGGAAGAAAAAGCAGCTATGGGAGGCAAAGATAAAAAAAACATGTGAGGGGGGATAACAGGTACCTACCCTGTGCAGTGTTACTGTGTGCTGTTCCCAGATGACTGTTTCCTCCATCGCGGCACTCTGGAAGACAGAAACACAACGCTGTTGTTAGCCTGATCATCTTAGTACACAACACACACCCACAGAAAGTCAAAAGAAAGGGAGAAATCTAAATGTTTCATTAAGCCATCAGCAGACCACATCCGGATTTTTCACAAAAAAAGTCACAAAATTTGCTCTTTTTTTCTTTCTTTGGAATAATATGGCTGTTATCAGCACAATTTAGCTAACTATTGTCACATGTGTATCCTTTAGCTCCAAGATAAAAAAATACTTATCATAATCTTCAGTTGAGAAAATAAATAGCCTACAGTAGAATTTGTTGCATAAAAAAAGAACCGAACAATACTAGCATCCAATTGGCAAATTCAGAGGACAAAAGTCCATTATAAATACACTAATAGCATTTGACTAAAGTCCATTTCCACTTCAGGCCCTCCATGTGTACAGTTTTCTAGTAAAAGAGGGAAGCCGTCTCAGTGGGCTCTTTATAGGCAAAATCTAATAGTGATACAAACTGAACATACTAAACACACAGGGCTGTAGCCAGCAGGCTCTTGAGTTTGCTTAAATGTTACATTTACAGTGGTGCAGCTAGAACCGTGTTGTGTCTGGAGTGCACTCGCACACTGCTAAACAGACCAGGCACATCCACACACTCACCTTGCTACGTCCCTAAAGAGTCTAGGGGTGGAGGACGTAAACAAGTTAAAATAATAAACTTGGGAGATCTGGACCAACGGCAAAAAAAGGATATTAAATGAAGGAAAACACAAGGTAACTGAAAACCATCTCCAAAAGGAAGACGAGTACGGCATATGGCTCCTTCTTTACTGGCTCCCAAAACCTCCTCACGGCAGCACCTCACAACCTCTCTGGTTCCGCTCTGGCTTCCACTGAAGCAGCACCCCACTCTGGCTTGGCACAGCCTTTTAATCCCATGCTGCAGAAGTGACGTCGCCGGCACGCCTGAAGAAAATCACACCCACTCACATACGCACACACACGCTCGCAAACACAAACAAGGCGCCTTCATTCACAGTTTACCTAACATTATATACAATCATAGAAGAAAGGGAGCAAAGTAAAGTCATTGAAATGAAAGCGCATCCGTGTTCACATTAACCAGCAGACAAGATGAGATGAAGGTCACCTCTCTCAACTGATGGTCAGCACTGTCCTCCACACACCCACAGCCTGCTTCGTATCTTATCTCTTCTCCTCTTATCATTCCACCTCCACCACAATCTCACGACACATTAGCCACTGAACGGCGCCGTGTCAAATACTGCAAGGTTCAACCATTTGGGGCAAATGACAACCTACATCGCAGCGCCTAATGTAGTAACCCCTATTCGTCATGTAAATTGATCCAAAGAGTGTGGCCGTAATAGGTGAGACCATCACACATTTTTCATCCTGCTTTGCCGGTAGTTTCTTTGACACCTCTGACACTTATAGTGCGCTCACCTGGGCAGTGTTGTTGTTGAAGTGGCTTGACATTTTCAGACCGTGTCTGAAGGTTCCTCTGAACTGTGGGAGGTTTTAAAAAAAGAAACCGCTGAATTTAATAAAATTGCTAGTGTCTCTCAACACTCTTAACTGATAACAGACTTGTTCCCTCAAACGTGGAGTCCAATAAAACCCAAAGCCACTTCATGGCATTCTGTATCTCAAAACTGAACATCTCAGGTCCCAATTCTGAGGCAGAGACACTAATCTCAAAGGTTCAAGTAAACCTAAAAGTACAAGAAGGGAAATGTTTGAGTGGACTCTCCATGCCTCCTGTGTACAATCTTTTTACTAAAATTTCTTCAGTGTCCAGTGACTGATGCGTTTTTGTGGCACCGCTGTGTGCGTCCTACGGCCACAAACAACTGGTGCCAAGAGAAGCTTGTAGCCACAAGCCAGAGCTGACAGCCGCACCAGTTGGTTGGGCCAGGCTTGGGGGATTACAACAAGGCAATTTGAGATCTAGCACTCCAACACAGATGGATCACACACAGCAGAGTGGAGAAAGAAGAGCTGAGGGCAAGATGGACTATGTCAATATGTAAAGGGTAAACGGCACAATTATTTAATAGACCTTGAGCTATGCCTTCAAATATCAGCACGAGAGTCAATTTAGGGCTTCGCCTGGTGATTTTATTTTATTGCGGAGTAGAATCCGTATCAAATATTCAATCAATTGAAATTTATTGAGTTTGATGAGTTATGTTATGTTATGTTTCGCCCAAAAGTTGGCTGAGGTGTAAATAAGTCCTGTGTATGACGGCAAACTAAACACTGTTGGCTTTTTCACTAGAGGGTTTGCAAAAAGACAATATTTCTTAAAAACTTAATATAATTATTGCTTAGACCCTAACTCCATTAATAATTTGGTCTGAAATCTAATGATCTAGTGATCTACAATTTTTTCCAACAGCTCAAACTTCAATATGTTCAGTTAACAACTATATGAAATAAGACATTGGAACAAATGGGTTATCATGCTCTCTTTTCAGTGCATCTATTCCTTTTCTTTACAGATTATGTACTGTAGCTTCCACAAAAACAGAAAACCCCACCTCAAAATAACTGGTGGCAACTGCTTTGCTATGTTAAAAGTAGTGTTAGGGATTTAAGCAAGAAGTGCACCCCTAGTGGTGGAAATTATAAAGGGGGTAATAATGTTTAGTATTAGAATTGTAGTTTGTGTGTTATTAGATATTAGTTATTACATTAGCATGTTAGATGAAGTGAATACAATATAAATCAAACACAAGTTATAGTCATGTTAATCATATAAACACTGTACACATTAACATTCTGTCACAATGTGATGTTAAAACCTGGGGACGGATGCTAATTGCCGTCCTTTATGGATTTCTCCCAATTTTATCCCCAAAGAGGGTTTTTTGGGAGTTTTTTCTCCTGTCAGGTAGTAGATGAGCAACCGAATGTAAGACAGACGACTGAGGCAAATGTCTTGAGAATTGGACCACATGAACTGTTTTAGATCTCATGAAGTAGTGTGATGAACTGTGATCATTAATGATGTGTTGTAATTAAAGTGTACTAGTTAGAAGATGAAGACTTAAACTATGCATGCTTTGTTATATTCACTCATTTAGACCCCGTGCAGTCGGACTCTAGTTGGCCTGAACCCGGGTTCATTTTTCACACCTACCCACTTTTTAAATCGCGTGCACATGAACCCAGTGAATCCGATTGACTCCGCTGTAGTGCATCCCCCATGCCTGTTGGTGGTGCTTTAAGGTGCTACAGACAACTGAAGAAAACGGAAGGAGAAGACAGGAGCATGCGTATAAGACATGCGCGCCGTATACAAACAAAAACTCCACAGAAGAAGAAGAAGACGACCGGGTTGGATTGCATGCAATCACGTGGGGCAATCCGATTAGGTATGCGGATAGCGTGCAGACCAACACCAACAGCTGTTTACTCACTTTGGACCCCCGATTCGAGTGAGAGCGGATACAGTGCGTTCGTCTGCACAATAGGGCTATCCGGAGACAGGTTCACCGGGTTCAGGCAAACTAGAGTCCGTCTGCATGGGGTCTGAGGCATAAAGCCAAATGTATCTACATTGAATGTGTAGGACAGAAAGGTTTCAGGTTACAGCTGCAGCTTCACACCTCGATGTGAAAGGGACAATCCAGGAGGAGACACTCAGCATGGTTACATGGATTCGAATAACTGGCTTAGTCGGACTGAAATCGAATTATCCGTTTCATGCAAACGCCTTTGTCCGACTATGTGCGGTCCGACTACGATCCGATTAACACCCCTGGATAACTTGATCCGATCCAGTTGATAGTCCGACTATTCGGGCATGTAACGGTGAATCGGATAAGGAACTGGACTTTGCGCATGCTTGAGATCCCGCCGCCCTCCTCCCTCCCGGAAGTCGAAAGAGACTGCTGGGAGCCTGGCTGGCAGAAAACAAACAAACAACGCTATGGACAACACAAGAGTCCCTATAGTAGAGCACAACGGCGTAGATTCGGGTGTGCAGTTGCCAACTACCATGGGTAAGTTAATTTCAGTTGCATCACACTAAAACAAGTGCTAGATTCCAGATGCTAGCTGATGCTGTTCGTGAGATGTGTTAGCAGTGCTAATATGTGTTGAAAAATGTGTACCTTCCCTTAATTTGCGAGGAATTAAATCGACAATGAAAACAATGTACAATCATAAAACGTAAGGCTAACCTGGGTCCCACTTGATAACTTTCGAAGCTAACATGGGTGCCACTTGCTAGCTAGCCCTTAGTCTTTGAGAAACGTGTAGACCTTCCCACTAACAAGGAATTCAATTTAGGATGAAAGCTAGTTACAAACGTAATAAAGTGTACATTACATAAACTGTACTTTCTACATTTGTTTTTGCACTAGATGAGTTTTTATGTTTCTTTGTCTATTTTTATGTGCATGTAATTTCTTTGTGCACGTTATTGCACATAGGTGCACAAAGGTGCTATATAAATAACGTTTTATTATTATTTGTGCTGTACCATCTTATAGATACTACAATGGACCCGGAAGAGATACTGCTCGGAGGCTCATCTGGAACCTCCTCACCTAAATCAACTCCACCACCTTCTACTCCACTGCGTGCTACCTCCTCAGTTAGGTCGACTCTAGCTTCACTCCACCACCTTCAACTACTCCACTGCGTGCTACAATTACCGATGATCTACCTGGTAAGTTCTGCAATATTATAACTGCATCAACATATGGGCATCACAAAGAATCTTCATGCCATGCTTTCACTCATCCTGTGTAGTCTAACAAAGAGCTGATGTCAAGATGGTTACTACCACATGCCTAATCGGTAGGAATACAACTGACTTTATACCTGCCATTTCTTAAAGGAACAAGGACCCAGCAAACAAGGCAAATGAGAGACGTTGATGTGCTGGTAAACCAGATGCAAGTCTCAACAATGGAAGGAGGACATGGCAAGAAGTGAGGCCCGGGAGGAACTGTTGATCGCCAGCATCCTCCGCACTGACAGTATGGTTGAGAAGCTGATGCAGAGAATGGATAACATTCAACCTCAACCAAACACATTCTCACCACCACCACAACATCAACCACCGCAAGATGCGTATTATGGTTATGAATGCCTTACTTATTTGCACTACCGCCTGAAAAGCACCTTACCGTTCAAACAGCACAATTTCTACACTCTACCTCAGTGTGTGTGTATATATATATATATATATATATATATATATACACCTACACAATCAGAATTTATATATATAGATTTGTTTTTTTGTGACATTTAAAGTTTTACCTTTTATACTTGTGTGCTTTTATACCTTGTTTTTCTTGTGTGCTCTTATACCTTGTTTCACTTTTCTTAATATTTCTTATAAATAAAACACTTAACTAAAACTTCTGTGAGTTTCTTTATTTGTGGAATGAAACACGCATGAACTGTACAAGAATTGTATTTACAAACCTATGACAAACTGGCTATTATGTAATGAGTACGTCTAAAGGTATGGTCTGCTCAGGGGGAAGTTTGCACTCAGGTAATCTGTGAGGTCGGCTCTGATCCTCTGTCCATTTGTGTCGTCTGCGTGATTGTTGGCACGACCACCTGGCTGTGGCAGGTTGGATGCAAGTGTAGCCGCTTCCACTGACCAGTTGGGATTCACAACTTCCTTCTCATTCTCACAGAAATTGTGCAATGCACAACAGGTAGCAATCACTTAAGGGGTGAATGTAAAGTGGAAGTCACTACGCTTCATAAAAACTCTCCAGCGTGACTTCAGTCTCCCAAATGCAATCTCCACCGTGGTCCGTGCAGAGCTTAAGTAGACATTGAAGAACTCTTGCTCAGGGGTGATGTTTGGGGAATGAGTGTAGCCTTTCATGATCCAGTCCATGAGAGGATACGCTGGATCTCCCAACAGGAAGTGACCGATTGAGACATCATCGATTTCTCTTGGTTCCTGGGAGGAGAAACAGAAATGGTTACCAGTGTTGGACTTGCTTACTAAATGGCCCAGCATAAATAAAACATAGTATACATAAAAACATAACAAAGCCTCTATAAAACATACTACTTTAAGCTTGTAACATACCTAGAAATCTCAATAGCTTGGTGGTAGCTCCACTAGTTTCTGCATGAATAACTTTCAGTAGCTTAACTCATTTATTGATCTTATTGATTTTATCCATACATTAATATGTCTCAGAGTACGACTTACTTTTGGTAACAGGTGTGCCTGGCTGAACAACGTTGATTGCCTCAGCACGTTAGCATTACAGCATCTTACAGCTGAAGCTCCAGAAGCTTAAAGAGAACAATTTGTCAGGTTTTAATGGCACACACAACACACTGTAACACACACGTGAATATATGTAGGCGACACAGGACACACACACAAACACGCACACGCAGGCCTGAGGTCGCGGTGAATTGAACATATCAGTAAGCATTCACG